AAAAAAAAAATTTTGAAAATTTGAAAAAATGGGTCGGCGGGTTATGCAAAACGAAAAATTAACTTTGCGTGGCCTTATCACTTAAATGTTAGAATTTTTTTTTCTATTCCATTATATAACATAATTAAGATATCGCACAAAAAATAAAGTTCGTAATATGTCACGAAATCGGCATGTGGTTTGTATCACATATCTGCAGAATTAATTCTAACGAATATTACGAATAATATCCAGAACCTTCTTCCATTATATACGATCCTGCGATAAGAATGGGACTTAAAAAAGGTATAAGAGAAATACGTATAACGTTGTTAATCAGTAATTTTATCAAAATTCATATATTACTAGGACTTGGAAGCTCTGCCATCTCTGAGATCATCGAGATCATTGACGTTTTTTACGACGCAGGATAGATCGTCAAATCTAAGAGAGTTTCATTTTACCAGAAAAGCGACTAAATACATTCAGTATTTGGAGCTATAACCGAACGGAGTTCCTTTGATAAGCAGGATCTGGCATTGTGTGAAAGCAACGTAATTACTAAGCTTGTAATTCTCCTTCTGCAGGTTCTCTAGATCTAACGAAATTCCCACCCATAAGATAAGTTAGCAATAACGTTGTTTTTTTACTCATATATATTTTTACTTGGTTCACTTTCACTGTATTTTTTAAAAGTAATGTACCATTTAACAGATGCTAAGAAAAACGAATTCTTGCTATATTTTTTTTTATTTAGGAACGTAAAATGAGCAATACTGATTCCAAGACTAAAGATAATAATGCCCCCTAAGACCAACTATCCTAACAACCTAACACCATTTGAAAATAGTAAGTAAACTTTGCACTATCTAAATATTCGACTATTTTTAGGATTTAAGTCTTATTTTATTAAATTGAAATAGGTCTTCAAAAAAATAGATCAATTATGCTACATACCGATGTAGTAAGAGATATTAATAAATTGAGGTTTTTAAGCAACGAGAAATTTATCAATAAAAAATCAGTCACCAATTACGTATTTAGCGTTGCGGTATTATGGAAGTATCCTGATGGATATAATCCAATTGCACAGTCAAAAACTTTTGCAACTAAAGGTTATTAATGTCACTAATATATTATTTATCTGGTTTAATTTTTTTATTTATATAATATAACAGCAATGTATTTTTTTTTATTTGTATGTTATGTTGTCGTTCTGGCAATGATTTTTTATAAAATAAAAAGAAAGTCCAATGAGCTCGGGCATGATTCTTTTTTTTTAATATGATCGTGTAAATTGGAATAAAATTAGTCTACATTTGAATGTATATAATTGAGGATAGTTATACAAAAATTATAGGACTTCTATAGTCGACTCTGGATATACTGAACTGCAGATTCTGAAAGATTTTGTTCAGTATAGAGTAAGTTCGTTATATAGTTTACTCTCTCTATACCGAACAGTTCTGTATATAGAGCGAACCAATAAAATCACACACACGTGATTAAGATCGTCGAAATTTTGTTTATCGTTACGATATTTATTTTCTTTTTAAAGCTATAATCAATCAGATATAATAAGTTCATTATATCGAAAGATGTATAAAGTCCGTCATAGTCCTGGGCTGGTAAAAAGGAGTTCGGATGCGGTTTATAAAAATTTACTATGTGAGTTCGGTATAACCAGCATAAATGATTATAAAAAATTTGTTCTGCAAGATCCGGTTCGTTATAGCCTGATTTCGGTATAAGCAGGTTCGGTATAGCAAGAGTCAACTGTATGTCACTTATTTGCAATAACTGACAAAATGCCTGACTAAAAATTTGCATGAATTGATTGCTTTTTTACCTATTCATTAGTAAAATTAGCAAGCTATATAATACATAAACCATTTTTTAGAATTTTAACTTAAACCACTTTTTAGAATTTTATTCACAAAATGCCTGACTAAAAATTGCATGAATTGATTACTTTTTTACCTATTCTTTCGTAAAATTAGCAAGCTATATAATACATAAACCATTTTTTAGAATTTTAACTTAAACCACTTTTTAGAATTTTATTCACAAAATGCCTGACTAAAAATTGCATGAATTGATTACTTTTTTACCTATTCTTTCGTAAAATTAGCAAGCTATATAATACATAAACCATTTTTTAGAATTTTAACTTAAACCACTTTTTAGAATTTTATTCTTCACCTGTCAACCTATCCCGATCATTTAAAAATTTATAAATTTTCTAGGGTCTTCTTTTTTTTCGATTGCACCTTGTATATATCTCACCAAATCATCACAAAAGTATTTTACAGCTATACTTCCCAAATCCAAAATTATGGCCAAACTAATAACTCAAAAACTTTATAATTAATCTTTATTTAAATAATATGGTATATATGTTTATAGTTATATATATATAATATATTTGCAAAATATCAATTTATTTTTTTGATTTAATTTTTTATAAATGGCAATTGTTTTTTGGGGTTTGGGATTTGCCCAGGTTTTGCTGACAAATATATATATAGCCCATCTTTTCTTCTCAACTTCGGTAACAATCGAAATTTTTTTGGGATCTATTAAAAGCATTTTATTTAATTTGGATCAGTCTTAGAAATTAAGGAGTTGCGTTTTACCTATCTTGTCAAACCTTGCTGAAAATTTATTTCCTTGCTTTCTGTAGTGCTGATAAATAATTTCTCGAAAGGGAGGTTTGCACAGAAGAATAGTCTTTAGTTTGCAAATCAGAATTAAATGCGTTCATAATCAAAATATTCATACCTTAATTGTGTTTGGAGCTTTCGCCAAAATAAAATATAACGAATTATATCTTAAGTACAGATGTTCAGAGTATATATGTAAAATATTTATAAGACTACATGCCCCGCTTATTAGGATAATAAAAAGAAATTACATCCAGCGTTCCACCTAACCAGGTGTACTAGCCCTACATTTGGGACAACGTCCATGCATCCTCATCTATTAGGATAATCATGAATATACAAGACATCCGGCGTTCGCCCTTGCTGAGCCAATTAGCTTGGCTTCAGACTACTTGCCCTACATAGAAGGTCTATACACCCTCTTCTATTAGGATAACCGTGAGAATGGCATCCAGCGTTCGCCTTAGACTACTAGCCCTACATTAGAAGGAGTATGGTGTCTTATGGATAACATGTCTCCGAACATCAAAACCGAACGTTTGTTTTGACAATCTTATTGGGTAGGGTGTCTGCAGATCATTTTTAATAGTAATCATGTGGTTTCATATGAAATCATGTGATTGACAAATCAGAATCGTAAAAACAACAAATTTGACCAATCAGAATCGGTAATTTTTGTGCAACCTAAGTAAATTTGGGGCCACCTAAGTTTTTTTATCAATATACGAAGTGGATTTTTTTTTAAAAGATACAGTATTCATAATTTTACTGTTATAAATAAGAGACCTCAAATTATATACTGGAAAAATTTGGTGAAGATTAGTCACGATTCTAAAAAGTTTAATCAGAGGCGAATTTTTGCTGTCTATGTAAAATTTAAAAATGATCTACGTCACCCTATCCTTAAATTTTTAATTGATCAAAATTGCACCATAATGAAAAAAAATTTTAAGAAGGATTCAAAACGCTATTCCAGAGCTTTAGTAAATTTCAAAGCATAGCTTTTAACAGAAAATTAAAATAGAGATTAATATCTTGGTTTACTTAGACAAATATCGATAAAAGACGGCAAGTTGCGGTCAAACAACTACAGACACAAGCTGTAATTATTTTCTCCGAAGAATATATTGAACGTGCACAAGAAGCTCGTTCCATTGTTTCATGCGGCTTTTTGCAAAATGATGACAAACAAGCTCCACATGACGATCAGAATGATATTCCCAACGATCAGAATGCTATTCCCAATGATCAGAATGCTATTCCCAATAATCAGAATGCTATTCCCAATGATCAAAATAATATTTCTGATGATCAGAATGATATTTCCGACGATGTTGCTTTAGCTAAGGATGGTAAAAAAAACAGTTTAAAATATTTTTCGCCTGTTTAAAACAAAATATTGATTTAAATAATGCATTTCTGTTTTTTAATTTATTTTCATCTTTTTTTAATTACGTAATAAAAAACATTTGCCATTCCTGCTTTAGTTATTCTAAAAAGGAGACCATCCGAAAGTAGTGAGTCAGAAAATGACGAAGAAGGCAATATATCTCCATGCGAATTGGCAAGTATGAGGGTCGAAGATCGCCATCGACTATTATACAAAGATAAAGATTACACTGATGATGAAGCTGATGAAAATTCTGATGGTTAGGTTTATACTAATAATGTAATAGATAGGGGTAGAAAAAAAAAGGTAAATATTTGTGCAAATTTCAATTTTTAAAAATTTTATTGTAAAGCCTTTCTATGTACTTTTAGAATAGCAAAATTCCACTGCAAGAAGAGCAAAGGAAAGAAATCGATGAAAGTTTTAATTCGATGGATAAAAATAAAATGTGGAAGTTATCATCTGGCCGTTATGTAGAAGTGGAATTATATGAGTTAGGAAAGAAGTTAGATTACGAACAGTAAGAATATAATTATATCTTAGTTTGGTAATTACGATATGTGATATTAGCTAGAGTGTTGCATTTCTAGTGCGATACATTCTTTTATATTGGATGTTGAAGATGATATTGTGTTGAATCATTTTTACGAAGAGGAGATAGAGGAAATAGATCAGGTATCGGGTCCTGCCATTCCTGAGTTGTCTGAAAACGTGATAGATTGTTTAAGTAAATTCGCTGGCAAGATAGATTATATATTTTTATTTATTGCCAAATTTACTCGTATTTCAATAATTTACAAAGTATAATTTTTGCAGACCGATTTGCATGAAATTAGGAAAATACTTAAAGAAATTACCTTTGATGACCAATATAATATTAAAAATGATCATAACGTTGATTATATCATTTTTGCTATACACGGTTTGTAAGTAACCCTTGTAAATTTATTGTTACGCTAATAATTTTTGTGTTTGTGTGAATTAATACTGGTGTAAAAATTATTTTCCAGGGTACGAGAAATAGAAAGTGGAAAATTATGTGACAACAACCTCGAATCATGGTTTAATGTTCACATTTGGAATTTAGTATTTGATCAAGCGTTTGGAAACGTGAAAATTATTTCCGTTGTCAGGTAAAACTAATTTTAATTTTAATTTTATTTGTTTGTTAGTTAACTTGTTTAATTAAAGTACAATTTTATTTGCAAATAAAGGGGGAAAGTTCGGGAATTGCCAGCTCAATCCGTAAAAATAAAAATAGAATGATGGGTACAAATCGTAGAATGGGTCGTAGAGGCGATTGGATTTTAAGATTAACTGGTAAAGGCGATAATAATGAATTTGGAGGTGGTGAAGCAGGACATAGCTGGAAGGACAAATATGGTACTAAGTTTTTAAAGGAATCTAGCACAAAACTTCCCAAAAACTTAAAAGATATGATTATGAAGTTAATGGAGAAGGTTAAATGGAATCCAGCCAAATACAATAAAATCCAAACGGTTGGAATTATTCATGCCGGTATGGATTTTCTCATGTATTTAATTAATTATGCTAAATTCTATCCTTTAATATTAAATAACATTTCAATCTTAGGGCTAATAATGGTAATGCTTTATCTCGACAACCCCAAGGGATATATTTGCAGAATTCGTCGCAGTGAATTAATGGAGGTACCGGACACACCAGAAAAGTTTCCATCAATTCTTATTATATTAGCGTCTGTTCTTAATTTAAAGGTTAGCGTTATGTATAGATGGGTGAAATTATTTTCGCAATGACAAAATTAATGAAATTATAAGTGACGAAATTTACGAAACACTTATTTCATCAATTTCGTCTCCTATCACTAGTCTTATACTATTTGTCGACATTATATATTTTCAATACTTTCACCTAATGCTTGTCTGTTTATTTAGAGTCGAGTTTTGGAAACACTGAAAGTTGTAATAAATTCAAAAGAAAATCAAGATAGGAGAACATTCATTGAGGCAGGATTAAAAAAACGAAAATACGATTATGAACAACACCGGTTAACCATTTGTACAACAACTCCGGAAAAAAAAAATGAACGGTTTATTAATAAACCAAAAACAAATTCGAAAATAAATTAATAGCTTTAGTGTTAGATTTATGCAATTCCACAATAATTTTTAATTTGTAATAAAATTAAAATTTTTGGGACCTCTGATATGAAAGATTCGTGATATTCGTGTGCACTAAATCTTCCCCTGTATCGCTACAGTACCAAAATTCCACCCACACGTGATCGTGCATAGCACACCGATAAAAATTCTTTAAAATTCATATACGTTAGAGTTAGGGCTCATATTGAGGTTATATGTTGGTGTATTATATCATAAAATTGCTTAAGGAAAACTTTTTATTAATACGCAAAAGGTGGTTTCATGTGTGATTTTTTGAGAAATAAGCGATTTTTGACAAAAACGGACGTTTGTTTTGTTACGTCTTGACAGCTGATTGGATTCTGATCACGTGTGGGTGGAATTTTGGATAGATTAGTGTCAACCTCATAGACAGAAGTTCGTCTGATTGGCTAATGTAAATCAATTGCTCGGGTAACTTATTTATATGCTTTAAAGTACTTTTTAAGAAATCGAGTGTTACATACTAAAAGAACGCCAATTTTTAC